TTATCTATCTAAGAAAATCTTTTGTATTTAATAAAACATAGATTCAGAATAAAGAAACATGCAATGGGAGACAGAAATGATTTTTGTTACTTAAAACCTGAGCACAGTGAGATGTGAAGAGAACACTGTCTTTCTTGAAGTGGAAAATTCTATTTGCTGAAGCTGACAGATCCTCTGTAGCTACTTATATCACCCAGGCTGGTGATATGGCAAGGAAGATGGATCATTTCTAGGTGTTCAGAAAGCTCAGCCAAAACCTGCAAAAATGTTTACCTGAATGTCCTCCTAAGGAGCCCCGGGCCTGGTTTAGTGAAGTGCTTTGCTTTTATCGCCTACAGATGAATTTCTTTATGAATGAGTGTCTGCTAGGATAAAGACGTAAGTTATAAGTCACTTTAAAGCTGCAGATATTTGGAGGATAAACATATTTGTTTTGTCATTACCTTTCCTCATTTTCCCCCTTAGGATAGTGTAGTCTTTTGTCTTACATTTTCAAGGTTGTAGAAGCAAATGATACTACAGAACAGTAAAAGTTATTTAACTTTTAAAACTGCCTTCTCTGTGATGAAATTCTGACACACAACTTGTAGAAATTGAATGAAAATGGTTTTGAAAGACTTATGCTTCTTGTCAAAAACCACACTCTTGAATGAATTCTGAATAAGTTTGGTATAGTGGAAAGACAAAAATATCACCATCTAACAGAACTAACTGCATGCCATTTTGGAGAATGGATAATGATTCTTCTCATTTTTCTATTTACAGAACAGAACCTGTTGCAGAAATGTGTTCTGGCCCCCTCCTTCCTGCATACAACTGCTTAAAACATGTTTCTTTTTAAATTTTTGGAGCTGGCCAGAAAAGTTAAAATGGCAGTATCTCCTCATAAAGGTGTTGGCTTCTCCATATCTGTTCATCATTAGCATCTGCTCTATTTAAAAGAATGTATTCCCAGAATACAAATCCAGTTGAAGCAGCCTGTTTGTTTTAATGCCTCTCTAATATTAATAACTAAAGTTAGTGGTAATGTGAGTGTGATAAGCGAGTCTAAAACAGATTGAAGACCCTTTAGTTATTTCATATATGCTGCTAAGTTGTAAGGGGTAATGTTTTATTATCCTAGGAACATCGGGTACATTGGGAACTTTACAAAGGTGACAGAAACTTCAGAATCTGTGTTTTACAATAAGGTATTGGATACTGATGCAAATCTTTATACGGTAGTCAGCCGTATCTCCTGCAAATCCAGTAGCTGATACTACAACTGATTCATCTATCTTAAAATGACATTTATTTTCCAGTAGAATTGCAGAAAATGTCAGTTTCTGGATTTTGCTTAACATGGAAAAAGCTGAACAGTATCAGAAATACCTACAGGACTAGCAGGATGCAGACCCTGAAATTATCATAAAGTTTCCACTTAATCTTGTCTGTCTGAACAACACAGTTCAATTTAAAATAAATTCCTTCAGGTTTCTTTTGTTACTCAAGGCTGTGGGTATCATCCTAAAGCTCAGAATGCAGTACATGCCTTTTTCAGTGTGAAGGAACCATCTGTTTTTTCTCCTACTCAAGTAATACTGACAAAGGACATATATAACTGCTGAAATGTTATCTCAAAGGAAAACAACATTTGCTTTCCCCAAGCAATATAAATAACATATTGAAAAGTATATGAACATCCACAGCATATATGTGGTTGGATATAGTAGAATTTAATTAATTAACAAAATTTCAATATTTTATTGGTCAAAATTTGCCCAGCAGATTGTCTAAAGCCTTCCTGTTTCAGACACTTGCCATTCCAATTTTTGTGCTTAAATTAACTGTCTTTTCCTTCTGACTCTGTCCATCATTTTCAAACTGTGGATGTTTTCAGTAGGAACATTGGTATCCTTCATTGATCATGGGGAAGAAAGGATTTAACAGGTACTTATGGCAATGCAACAATATCAGGGGCATGGCATAAAACTCAGAGCAGTGTGTCTGGCACATTCCTTCTTGCAGTAAAGCCTTTCCATTGCAAAAATGGCTGAGTTAATTTATTTTCCATGTCATTCTATCTCTGTTCCAGAGTCTCAGCTTATCCTTCATAGCCTGTGCCTTACAATAGTGATACCACAAGCCTCAGGCTACAGATACCTTGTAAAGGTGCCCCCAAATACAATGCATGCTTGAAAACATGCTAGTTCCTGTTAAAGATCTCTTTATAGAATCCCAGATATAAGTTCTGTTTGCTATTAGAGGAATGAGCATAGGAAGAAATTTGGCTTTGTAGTACTTCCAGAAAGTGAAACTGTTTTATAGGGTCCATAAAATCGTGTTTTTATGAGCACTCATAAACTTAAGAGCTGATGCTATTGGCAATATTTCTAAAAAAATGACAAAAAAACCCCCCCAAAACATCTTATTTCTAATCAACAGGGCATTGCTCACATCTCATATTAAAGGGACAGAAGTCCCTTCAGTAAATTTTCTCCTTTTTTGCTTAGTTTAAATGTTGTATGCAGGATGGAAAATGACCTGTTTAGTGTTTAGACCTCTCACCAGAAACCTCCCTGGCCCTGTCTGGTTTCCTGAAAGAAAAACCCAACTCACAACTCAGTAACAGTTATGAGGAAGGTGGCTGCAGAACAGTTTCTCTCCTCCAGGGAAAACCTTGGCAGTGCAGGGCAGGGTCTGGAATCTGACTTCAATTTCATCATCAAGCCTTAATTATAAATATAAAAGACATTGAACTGACAGAAAAAAAATGACAGGATTGTTTGGAGTGTGACTACAGCTCTGGATATACATCAGGATGCAGAAGGAGGCTGGCCCCTCCAGTAATGTCTTTCCTATTTAGTGGAATCATCCTTGCTTCCTCCTAATAAACATGCAATATATTTTTTCTCCATCATTCTTTTGATGAAAATAGAAAAATAGTAAAATAATGAGTAAGAGTGAAAGTAAGAGAAGTAAGTGATAAAATATCAAAATGAAGTAACTGGAAAGTAGAAATTTTTGTGAAATGCTTATTTTGAAAGAGAAAAGAATGAAGGCGAAATTCTGGTTTTGGTTCCATGCAAAGCTATTAAAGGGATAATTACAATTTTTTTGCTTTTCTTTCCTTTTTTTTTGCCTGGGCACAGAAGCTGCACTCCTCTGGTCTCTCACATCCTCTTCATTCAGCCAGGTTCCATATACATTTTTCTACAAATGCCGCAGCAGGTAACAAATAGAACTGGACATGAAGTTCTGCAGCAGCCAGCCAAGGAGTGAGATGCTTGTTGTGTGAGGAGACTGCCAGGGCAAATGGAGGGAAAATTGCCAGACAGGATCAGGAGGATATGGCAAAATGAACAAACTGACCATTGTTTGCAGAAAATGTCTATTTTTTTTTCCCTTGAAGTGAAGCAGCATTCCTCAAGAGGCAATGCAGGCAACTGAGACAAAAAGGAAGGTAGGATATTTCTCTTCCCAGTCCTTGTAACCCAGAAGAAATTCGTGAAAAACATCAGGGATAACTACTCTGTGAAGAACTACATCTCTCCCACCCATTAAGCCCAGGGAATCAGCAAAGATACCATAGACTGCTGCAGAAGCTTAGCCTGAAAAAATCAGCATCAGGAGATGATTTCAAGTCTAGAGATAGAAGAAGTGCCTGAGGTCTTGGCTGCCCTAGATTATGAACCAGGTGGGAGTCTGGTGACAAGAAACTGGACAGGTTGCTGAGCAAGCAAGAAAGCTGCCACAGGAGTGACTCTCCACAGGAGGGGTACAAGCTGGCCCAGAACAGAGCTAAAGGGGCTCTGTCAAAGACAGTGACACAGTAGGGAGTTGGAAATTGTGTATTTTGGGAAGTGGGGGGTTGAAGACTTCTGGAAAGAGTCCTGGAAAGCAGTAGGTGCCAAAGAACTGTCTGCTGTAAACATATTGCCAATTGTCATGGTTTGATTGTAAGTCTTGCACTATTTGGAGACTAATTTTCTTGCTCTTTGTCAGAATAGATGTTCTCACTGGAGGGGAAACCAAACCCTAGAAAATCCCTTTATTCTTTACCCTCTGTCCTACCAAAACTCCTGCAATTGTTGTTTGAGCATATTCTGAATATTCACAAGAGAGAAAATGATGGAAAAAAAGCTTAAATTTTTAAATTTAAGCAGTTATTTGTAAAGTATCTGAATTTTTTTGAAGGGAGGCTCTTGATTTTTTTGGACTTTATTTTGATGATCTGGGCCTGGAGATAATTGAAGTAGCTGTAAAAGCTCATGGGAGGTTAGCTCCTTGTGGAAACAGGGAGATCCTTGTAAACCCATGTGCACCCAAAGGAAGCATACATGTTCATCTAATGTGAAACAGGTTATAGGTATCCCAGCAGTGAGTCTGCATCTGTCTTGTGGCTGCATATGGAGCTGGCAAGTGGGTGAATGAATTTATATCACCTTAATTAACCACATTATTGTAGATGTATCTAAATAGATTCCTACTATAATAACTTTTTTTTGCGCTGTTTTTCTTCAGTGTTATTACAAGAGAACATAAAGGACAGAGCAGAAAAGAAGAGACATTTGGTTTCAAAGTGTAGTTTTTGTAGTTTTTGTGTAGAGATGGGGAGAAAAAAAGAATTAAAACAGAATAAAAAGAATTTCTTTCAGAATTGGATTTCAGAATGATCTGCTTCCTTCCTCAGAAGTGATTGATGGCAGGATTTGGCAGGAATGGAGACCTGTACTAAGAACCATTTAACTCAGTGAGTGTCAAATCAAAACACAGAGCAGAAGAACAGAAGAGGGCAAAAGAAGAAAATTTCCTTTTTCTATGTGAGACATCACATAGATTACATAAATAGTTGAGAGACCCTAGGGCAGAAAAGATAATGTACATACTGGTTCTTGGGACAGCCATCACTGAAAAGAATGGTTCTTATGGAAGAAGATAAAGGATAAGTACACTTGTATTTTGATTTTCCCTGAAAATATAAAACACAAGAAAGCACCATTTACAGAAGGAGTTTACTGTCATCATCTGGGGAGTGTAACATCAAACACAGGCCAAAGTGAGGCACAGAATGGAGGCTGCTTTCCTCTGTGGCAGACCCCTGTGGGGCTCACAGGCTCTTGCAGGACCCCAAGACAAAACCCCCACCTCAGGGTGGTGTTCCGTGCAGTCACCTGCTTGAGGCTGATTCTCCTGCAGGTTGCAAAACAAAAGTCATAAGAAAGACAGCAAAGCCTAATTATTATTTGTAAATGAATGGAAGATTGAAAGATCAGAGGGAAGAATGCTTTCACCAATTAAAAAGGACAGTGGTTTTCTGCTAAGCATATGCATACCTTTGACATCTTGTTCTCATGAGTGAGGCAAGTGAGCAATTCTGGCAAGATCCTAAGATCCTCAGGGGAGAAGCCAGCTTCAGCCTGTCAGTTAAGGCAGAATTCTGTTTAAAAGGCCATATTAGTGATCTGGGTGAGGAACAATACAATATACTTGACAGCATATTGATCAGCTGATCAGTTGTTCCCATGGCAAATTGCCTTTCTGTCTTTTAGGAATGGAGCCACTGGGTTCCTTTCTCAAAGACTCCCTCTCACTGCTGTTCTTCAGTGTTTGTATGAACTTCTCAAGAGGTCACCTTATAGTTTAACTGGATGTACACACTGATCTACTATTTAATTGCTGGCCCTCTTGGCCAATTTTCCTAACTCTGACTAGACAGCATCTATAGCATTCCAACTGCTGATCTTAAGCAAAATAAATGTTTTATTCCTATATTATTCTGTGTTTTCTCAAACAAATGAATATTTTGTACCCCTTCCACAATCTCTTTGAACATGAGCTTTTAAGTGACTCAGACACTAAGATTTATGCTGATAAGACAAATGCTCGGGGCTATACTTTTGTTATTCACAGCAGAGGCCAGAGATCTGTTCTTAGACCTTAGAAAGATGTTTGATGTGCAAGTGCTATAGCAGAACTGCAATGGCATATTTTCCATTTTATCAGCACTTTTTATCAGAAGCTTTTCTACGTTACTGAGCCTCTGGGAACACAGCTGGAATTTAGAGACATACCACTGGAAATGTGCTTACAGATCTGATGTCGTATAAGCATAATTTCCTGTATGTGTGTGAAGCCAAATTTACCTGGTTCATTCGATTTTTTTAAGGCAGTAAGGAGAAATAGGAACCTAAATACCTTAAAAAATTAGGTCTTGTTTAAATTTTACTGTTTAAGATGTGCTCTGGAATTCAAACATAAGATCTGCAAGAGCAGGTACAAAGATTTACTGTGAGTCTTTAGCCAGGGTACCTGTGAATAGTAAAGGCAGAATTATTGACATTTCTACTTTTGTGCAAAAATTTTTTAGGGCCATTCTTGGCCAATATTACAGGCTGGTGCAGCCATCTAGGCAAGAATATGGTCTTATGTTTTTATGCTCACAGAAGAGGGAGCATGAGCTTAATGCAGTTCACATACATTCAAACAGTGTTCATGAAGAACATAAAATTGCCACACACACACTGGTTGCTACAGAGTCTATTGTCCTGGGAAGTTATGTTTCTTTCCTGGCCAACTCTGTGAAATTTCCCAAAGCCAGAAAACTCCTTTATTTTGTGCTGAGAAAAGTTTACTTTCTCTTTTTGTCTTTTATAGATATAAATTTTAAAAATCTTTTTTGTCTGATTAAAGAAACATAGGAAGTGGAGAAAACACTGGTTATGATGCTGTTTGCCAATGTTTTTGTTTCTTTAGGTAATTAGAGGAGGCAAAATTCAATGCGGAGAAGAGAGCGTCATGGGACACCTCCCCTGGTCTCCCTCCTGCCCATACAGCACAGGCTATTCCTTTTCTTGGGATCTTGTTTTTGTGTTCTGTGTATTTGTTTAATTTGGTTCCATTCTTCTTTCTTTCTTTTGGGCAAAAAATTTTACTTTGATGAGTAACACAGTATTTAACTGTTAGCAGTATCAGCTGCCAATGGCATCTCAGGCCGTAAGATCCACAAATAGTAATGAAGTGATATAGAACTGAGAGAGTGAGGTAAAAAGACTTTTTAATTGAACTAAATAGGGGCAAAAAAGTATAAAGAGGCAAGAAAGATTAATGCATTAAAGGTATTACAGAGGAAGCACTGATCTCTTCTCTCTGTGGATCAGTGAGAGGACTCAAGGAAACAGCATGAAGCTGAGCCAGGTATGGTTTAGGTTAGATATCACTGTAACAGACTCTCCAGGACAGTGGTGACAGCATCAAGCCTGGCAGAGTTCAAGAAGTGTTTAGATAATGCTCTCAAGTTTGACTCTTGGGGTGTCCTGTGTGGGGCCAGGAGTTGGACTTGATGAACCCGATGGGTCCCTTTCAACTCAGTGTATTCTATGGTTCTATGGTTCTATGACATGGCAAATTGGTTTCAAGCTGTCCCAGGGGAAGTTTAGATTAAATATTAAGAAAAATTTCTTCACTGAGAGGCTTGTCAAGAGTTGGAACAGGGTGCCCAAGGAACTGGTGGAGGAACTGGTGAAGGAATTTAAAAGGCACTTGGGAACTTGGGGTTTAGGGATGGAATTGGCAGTGCTGAGTTAATGGTTTGATTTGATGACCTCAGAGGACTTTTCTGTCCTAAATGATTCTATGAGTCTTTGTGGTGGTATAAAGAACATTAGAATTTGCAACCTTGCAGCTGAGGCTCCCTATTGCTTCTGATATTAGCTTATTTTTGATAACATATTTATTAAAAAATGAAAAGCACCACGCTGAGGCAGAATTTTAAAGAAAGCTGGGAGGATCGTAAAGTGCTGGATGGATTTTTGCCACTCAAGTTATATGTGGGTAACAGTAGACAGTGGGTAGTATGCAGCAATGGACTTTTCACAGAAATGAATACTGTACCAGAATGTTGACTGGTGGGAGCACTACTCCCATTAAGCAGTAGGAACAGCTTCTTGCTGATTTTGGGCAAAAAGGTTTTAAGTAATTAGAGTTCTAATTAGAAATGCCAGGTCTAATGTTCTATTGCCTATTTTGGTTTGAGGGCTATAGGAAAATATTAACTTTTGACAGAAGTTTGCATCCACCAATTACTTGTGAAAAGATTTGGATGGAAAGCAGAGCCTCAATCTTTCATTAAAATGAAAAGCAATTAAAAGAAAAAGCAAACCACTATGCTATTAATTTCTCTCAGTGATGTGTGCCATTACTGTATTGTTATCACTGACAACATTCCCTTATTAGGCATTCAGCCTGACATTTATGTATTCTATCATCCCTGAACATAGCTCTGTCATAAGAATGCTGAAATGTAAGAATAAGTTATATTATAATGATGAAAGCAAGACTTGGATCCCAACTGACCAATATTTCTGTACCTCTTTTTACAGATGATCCAAAGTGGTTAAAAAGACAGATTTGGATGTTACTTTTCTGGGCAAACATTCATAAATTTTCCATTTTCTCTTGAATCAGTAGCTCCTGCTGACAGTTACAGAAGTTAGTTAACACTCTTTGTCATACAAAACTACTGTGACACAGCTGTGCAATGGAGAGTGAAACCTTTCCCTTTCCCTTCCACATAAACACACAGACATATATTAGCTGTGCTTGAAACAAACTTGAAAGTGAGGCTAAATTGCCCAATGCCTCTTTACATTTAATAATTCAAATAAAAAGTGAATCTCTATGGTAAGTGAACCAGCACACCTAAAACACCTCTAACCTTCTGGAGGAGCCTATTTCTCTCTGCTTATAAGGAAGGGAATCTTGGGAAATTACTCTCCATAATTAAGCAGTGTGGGAATTTAAAACTAATTACAAGTCGCAGCATATGTGATAATCAAATCACTGAGAATAGCACTGGGCAAGAGTTCTGTCCACCTAGCACATTTGGTTTATCCATCTGGGAGAGTAGTGAGAGAGTGGTGATGTACTGTATTTAGGTCATAGCACTGCATTATTTACTAGAACTTAGAGTGACCTATACTGCTATGGTGACAATGGAAGCACGTTTCTGTAGCTGTGACCTGCATCTTCCTTTTCTACATCTAGTTACGCCTCTACTGAAAAAAAAAAAGTGCAGTATTAATTAGCTATATAAGTTTGATTATTAGGGTACAACCTTAAGCTATAAGCCAATATATATATAAGGCAAATATTTGCCTTAAACCTATACACGGAATTCAGCAGCATACTACTATTCTAAAATTTAGTCCTGGAAGGTAAGCTTTGCACAAGTCTTTCCACAAGAAAATTTGACAAGCCCTTTTCTCTTCCCAAAAGGCAAGGATGTGGGACATAGATATGACCCCATGTTTTGCCATAGTTCAAGTAAATCTTGAAAATTGCTGATGTTGAAACATGACCTGTTCACCTGCTGAGGTACTTCACAGGTTGCAAATCTTTTGTAGCTTCATATCATTGCAGAATGTAATGTGTATAATAATTAATTAATGCAAACATGGCTATCTAGGAGGTTGCATGAAGACCTGGGGGTCTCTTAGGCACATCCTGGGGTGAGGACCTTGCCTCAGGTGAAGCAGGCAGTTGAATTCACCAGGTTGTTTTTAGTTTAATTTTTCTGTTTTATCAAATTGGCATTAATTTTAATGTAATGCTGGACTTTACTGAGAACAATAAAAGATCCCTATGGAGGAAAGAAATCAGAACAAAAGCCTGATATCTGGGCTGTCTTATTGCATATGCAGAAGATTTAATGTTTTAATTTTTATTACCACTATGGTTGCTTGTGGCGAGTTTAATTTTTCATCTAGCACTTTTTTGGCACAGTTCCACTTGTAGAACTGAAATGACATATCCATCTATCTTTTTAGTTCCTGGGTGATACAAGCACAATAAAAAAAGCAAATCTTAAGTTAGTTTTCTGTTATGAACAGAAATAAATCATAACTAAATCTTAACTTCTCCTTCTCCTCCCGCCAAAAGTCCTATACTCAAACAAACACTTCTTACAGGTTTCCTGCTAGTTTAAAAAAATATTCCACTTTATTTTCCCAGTTTTTCAACTTTTATCTTCTAAATCTTTTTACTGCAATGAGGCATACTAGCTGTTTCATAATGTATGATTTTACTGTAAAATATTGATTTGGAAAAGAAATAACCAGACAAATACCCAAGCCTATGGTAGGTAGATATTCACCTGGTTAGCCATTACTAATCTAAAACTAGGCTAATCCCAGTTAAATTCTCTTTGTACCTATGTGTTTAGACCCAAAGCGGAGTTTGAAACCTGACTTTCCTTTTCATTGCTTGTTGTTGTGCAATAGTTTAGATATTTGAATGCTTCTCTGAGCTGGCATTCTCAAAAAAGTGCATGAGAGTTTGCAGATTCCCATGTCAGTCAAACTATTAACTGCTGAGATGCCTTTAGAAACCCCACATTTCATAATATTTCCTTTGTTGACTGCCCCGGTGGCAGAAATATTTTAAACAAAAGAGCAATGAAAAACAAACACAGAATAATCTTATTTATACACAAGTTTTACTATATGTGGAGATACTGGCATTTATGAAGAAGAGTAACTCCCAAATGTTAATGCATCCATCCAAAGCTTTTTTTCACATTTGCCTTGTATTGCTATGTTAGCCTTGAGGGCAGATTCAATTATCTATACTAAAGTTAATTGTTCTCACACACTGCTGTTGATGTGATACTGGAAACTGCTGTGTCCACTTTGTGAGCTGCACAAAGGCAAGCTGACAAGCTCTGCTGATGGCAGAGGAAAGGAAGTGTGGCTTCATGGAGAGGCTGACTGCTCTGTTGTCTTTAAAGATGCTTGTTATGAGAAGCAAGGCACACTGCCAGGTCCTTATATGGGAGTTTGGGCATACCTATGAGGCTGGTAGACAGTTCTGAAGACCTTTTCATCTGATATACTTCACACAAAGTAAACTCATTATGAAAGGATTAAGCATCTTAGGTATCATCCCCTTCACAACTGCTTCTTTCCCTGAAGAGGTGCCAAGAAAAGGTTGTTTTCATAAGGGTACCTTGTATGAATGGTGTGCAGAGAGCGATCACACCCTGTGGATAACATAAATTTTTAAACAGCTGTGACACCAGGATTATCTTTCTTCTGTAAGTCCCTCAAAACTAGACAGAGCTGGTGCTTCTCTAAGGAACAAGTTATTCTTGTAATAGGTTTTGTCATTTTTTATGAGGAAGGATAACCTCTTAAATGAGTTTTCAAACTCTGTATTTTACTGAACACATGCATAAAATACGGTAGGCTCAGCAGAGAATAACCCAAATTTCTAATTTGTATACTGTGGCATCCACTGAGAGAAACTTGAAAACTAGTTTGTTTTTCTTTTCAACATTTGCTTTTATTTATGGCGTGCTCTGTATTACTAAGGATCACACAGAGTGCAGCTGAGTGGTGCTTACTTGCTGTCTGGGGTTAAAACACAGCAGATCTTAATTAATTCTAGCTTGATCATATCTGCATGTCTGGCTCACATACTGTACCTAAGTTTAGAGTAGCTATGATTGGACTGAAGTTCTGATGTTGAGAATACTTTGGTACAAATCTTTGGCATTTATTTGTTACATGCAGCTAAGGGCTGAGCTGTTGCTAGCTGTTGCTGTGAATTGTGATTGTGAGGACGCTTTGCCTTTCCAAATTAAGAATGTCAAAAATTTTTACTTTTTACATCTAACTGAAATGCAGTATACCATAACATTAGACTTGTTATTGGACTAGGTCAGGATCCTTGGATTAAATCCCAGTAGGACTATTGCTTTTTTCATTTTTTGAAACTTCCAAGTAAAACGGCAAATTAAATCAAACTTGTTTTGATTAAGTAGTTTAGTAGAAAACAAAGCAAACAAAAAGAAGATTACAATTGTGAATTTGTTACAGTATAAAATAATCTTGCTGATGAATACTTGATAGGAGTAAAGAACAGCCCCCAAAATATGTGGCAGACATCATTGGAGAAATGTAAATTATGTACTTATAAACTCTGTAATGTTATCTACTCTTGGTAATAAAACTGAGGTTTTGGTAATAATTTATGTCAGTTCTCTGTGATATGCAAAGGAACAATATTCTCAGAACTCTGTGTTTATTTATAGGGCTTTAAAAATTATGTAAAAGCTTCGTGAGCAATGCTTTTATCAGCCATTTCCCTTGTGTCTCTGAAATTTTAACTGATTATTTTTTTTTCTGTGATGCAACAAAGTTGATGTAAACATTAGCAGTGATTCTCGATGAATGTCTGGAACTTGTGCTGTCTCGCAAGCTCCTGGTTATTTTTTTTTTTAACAGCCCTGGAAACTTTTTTTTTTTACCTGAATAACAGCAAAATTGGGATAATATTTTTGTTCTTAAACTCTCAAAGAAAGTTTCCAGCCTGAAGCGTGGCCAAGGTGAAACAGTGTTGTGACTAAAGCCCACTTTCTTGAGGCCTTATAGACACCAGTCCAAAATGACTCCTGACCCACATCAGGCTTGGACCCGCAACCTCCTCCTGAGTGGGGCCTCTCAGAGCCAGGGAACTCTGGAGTTTTCTGTCCCTGGAGGATTGATGAACAATCACAATGGATTCTGGGCCAATGCCTCCACTCCTTGAGGCTTGACCTTCACCTATTGATTGGGGCCATTACTGCAAAAAGTCTTCATAGTGAGAAGACTTCTAAGCTTCTGTTCTTGGCTCAGACCAAAAGAAAGGCTTGAGCAAGCTTTAGGTATGAATGCTGAACCCAACCCTTTAACAAAAAAGAAAGAAATTACAATAAGAAGAGGAGGGGCAACTTCTTCATGGTAAGTGTGTCTTTGTAGGAAAAAGGTATAAGGACAAGAGGTACTGTGATACCTCTGTACTTTGCCATGAAAATGAAGGTGTCTTTGAGAGTTTATATTGCTTCACAGTGAAGGGAGACCAGATTTTCTGCATTAATCAAGTGGAACTGACTTTATAAGGTCTGTCCACTTCCCTCCTATCAAAATAAAAAGGGAAGCAACTCATGGCATCCCCACATAGGAAAGTTATCAATTGAAGCAGGAAAGTATTTATAAAAGTCATGGGAAAAAAACAAATGGTAAGGAGTTTAAATATTTTTGAAAGAGTTTAGCAAGTGAAAAAATGAGCATTCTTTGCTTGACAAAATTGAAAAGAGTTTAAACATCTTGGTTACAAAAGGGCAGGTTTAGCATAGGCAACCTTTCCCACCTGAACACAGAGCAGGATTTATTAATTAGTAATTACTTCTATAAAGGAGAGTGTCATGCTGACAGCCGTAATGAAAAATTCATGACGGAGACTTAACATTCTAATCTGCTGGATTACTATAAGGAGGCCGCCAAACTTGGGCGACCAGCCAGTGCTAGGAACACAAACAAATATCATAGTTCCCATAGAAACTGGGATCACCTTGGAGATGATTAATACCAGTCTGACTTAAAATGGGTGTTCCAGAGATATCACTCTCGACTGATTTAATTATGACCTGGTGTAATACAGTTGAGCATCTCTGAAGAGAAAATAACTCTCTATTTCTCAAATTCTTATTCCGACTCCTTGATGGAGTCTAAGAAGGATATTATTTTATTTTGTTTCTTTGCTATTAAGAGAGAACAGAAAACCATATAGGACACTTCCTGGAGTCATGCATGTCACACTGGAACATAAACAGATATACTGTTTGGAATATTTAGAACCTTTATTCTTTTTTTTGTGTCCGTTTGTTTGTAATCTTATAAAAGCATACATTGCTTATATCTCTGGCACTCTGAGCAATACAAACTATCAACAGTTTTCATACTTAAGCAGAGTATATCAGCTGGTGCTAGGAGAATTTTTGCAATCCATTACAAAAATGGAGCTTTGTGAGTAGAATACGAGTCCAAGGTTTTACAGTGTAGGCAAAAATAAAATGTTAATTTCACAAGAGACTGTGAAAAAAAATATTGTAAAAAACCCCAAACAAACAAACAAACAAAACCCCAAAAGAATTGTCATCATAGAATCTAGGTGTTCTATGAATAAAATACTCTGTGCTTGCATCACCACATGTAACACTTGTGGTGTCATTCAATTTCTGTCTCTCAATGAACAAAAAGTGAATATCCAATCTTGTATGTTAGCATGTTTTTCTAAAAGACCTAAACCTTCAAAAGTGCCAGATCTGAAAGAACTTCTACCTTTATAATTGAACTAGCATAAAATTCAGTTTTCCTTTCGTGTGTTCTTGAGGATCAATTTTTCATGCACTTTTCTGATACATGAAAAGTTTAAAATTTAGCAGTGATTTGTGAGAGATGACACATTTACCAAAATGAGCTCTTATCTCATACTTACATAAAGCATTACTATGGACAACAATACTCAACTTGGTTGAAATACAATAAACTTTGCAGTGCTGAAACTTCAATAGTTCAGCACTGAAATATTTACAATGCAAATATTCACAATGTGATTTATTTCTTCTTTTAATGTTGAAAATTATTCCACATTTATCTGTTTTTCAAATACTGAAAAGAATTAAAATATTTCTCCCCATGAAATACAGTTAAGAAACATTTCCCCATACAGAATCAGAAGTAAAATAGCCTTGGTTTTCCTCCACTTCTGGATGTGGTCTTATATATGTCAAGTGAGAAGAGCATGGAGACATTTTACAA